AAATGTGAGGCTTAATGAGATGTAATTGAATGTACTTAATGGTATTCTTTTAATCACATTTTCTACCATTTCAATGGAGATGAACTAAATTCAAGAGGATGGGTATTTTAGTAAAGAAATTTTCCAAAAGCTAATACCTCCTCATTCACACTTTTATAAGTAGTATGGATTATTGGAGAATTAAACTATTGTTATTTTATTAGAGATTATACTATTAATTTAGCTGAAATTAAGAATGCTCATAGATCGATTCGATTTAGTTGTAGGTTGTTTGGCCAATTAAATCGACCTAATCAGGTTGGGGAGTTGGTCACTTGAAATTGACTATCCATTTGTGAAAACCAGGCCACTCGGGTTGTATCAATTTTGGTCAATTTTTTGTTTAGCTACTTGGTTTAAAAGATTTAAACTTAAAAAATCAAATTTAAATAAAAAAATAGTGGGATTATTCAATAATAAATCTACAAATTAAATTTATGATATAAAATATGTTAGACTAAGAAATATGGGAATTTTCCCACTTTCCTATATTAAAAAATTATATTTAAAATAATAGTCAATGGTCAAGTCATTCGGCTTTGATTGGTTTACAAATGGCCATAGTGAAAGTAATCCAACCTGGTTAGGCTGGAAAATTATTGAACCATAGTTCATCGGAAATACTAGAAAATCGACCAACTCAAGTCGATTGATCAAGTTGGTCAGTTTCATTAGTTTGATGAACCACCATATCTGAAATTAATTATTGTTATTTTTGTATTGAAAAATAATTATTAAAAGTAGTATATAAAATATAACTAATTATTAATCTATATTGCTTATAAAAGAGCGAATGCCCCTTTTTTATGGAATTTTCATTGGACGTTTTTTATCCCCCTTACCTAAACATACAATGGGCATAAAGAGGGCATATATGTCATTTACTCCCATTTTAGAAACAGTCTAGAAACTGCCAATTTAGAACTATTCAGAAACTGCCCATGAATTATAAATAGCTTTCTTAGAGATAATGCCACATGCAAATGCACGTACATGTTTACTATTTTAAAAAGTTAAAATGCAAAACAATTGTCTACTATTATGTGCTTTTATTGTTTAGCTTTCACTTAACCCTATACATAATAAATATTATTTAATTTACTCAAAAAATAAAATAAGTGTTTTAAAAATCGACTAAGAGGATGAATAATTTTGCCTCTAAGTAACGAGTCAACAATTAAATTATTCAAGTTGGACAAATCAAACCATGGCACATCATTCATCTGTATACGTATACTATGGTATAATATAATTACATTTTGTGTGTATATATTATTTTAGGTTCAATTTGTACATTTTGATTATAAGTTTTATTTTATTTTTATAAATAGAAGTCAAAAATTGAAAATTTAGGCCAAAAAATGAGTTTTTTTTTTATTTGTATAGCGGGGTTGCAAAGATTGTAAAAAGTTACCCTAAATAAAAAAAAGAAAAGAAATTAAGAATCACCCCAATTAGACATCTGAGCACAAAGTTAAGTCCTTTAGAAGTTTTTAATACATTGTATATTGCAACCCATGTTCCGATGACTATATCAAAAGGGTCAATGGTTCAACTGCCTAGCCTAGGTTGAAGGGTTTTGACCAAATCAATGGTTTTTTTTTGACAAAAAAGAAATATGGTTGAGCGATGTTTTAATGGTTTAACCATCTAAGTCAATGACAACTTGAAAACATTGAATAAAACATCATAAAAATTATAATCAATTTGAAACAATAAAAAACAATTAACCATAATAATAATAATTTATTAAACCACTTAAACAAGATAGGATGATTATTAATTATTATTGATAACAATATTTTTATTAATATAATACAAATAAATAAATTAATAAAATGTATTAAGATAAATTAAAACTAGTATACATTTAAAATTAGAATAAAACTAATACAAAATTGTATAGAAATTATTAGTTTTATAATTATTTTTTACTAACGAACTTAAATTTCATTTGAAAACAATAATTTAATTTAATAAGGATTAATAAGAATAAAAAATATTAAAATTTTATTAACCTTAAATATAGTTTAGTTAATTTAAAATCAACTTAAATTATATTTAAAAATAGATAAAATTATAAAACCTTATTAGGTTTTCTAATAATCATATGAACCTCCATTATAGATGTTTTTACCTTAACAAAAGGCCTCCCATATTGTTTTGGAAAAAGGTGCAAATATTTTCCTTCTGCTAGCATTTGAAATAGAAAATGTTGATGTAATGCATTACTTGTTGTCTAAATACAAAATTTACTCTCAACCAACTTTGTTCAAAAATAATTACAAACCAATAAATATTTTGGTAAAAAAATATATATTGCATGAAAATAATACACAAATAATTACAAACCATCAACTTTTTCAAAATTAATAAAAAGTTTAGCATTAAGGTACAAAAATAATACATGTTATTTAGAGCATAGGAAATTAGCAATTCTCACCAATGTGCAACTTGATTTGTTATCGAATAAACTAGACATAACCCAAAAAACGCTTGAATTAGACTTAGATGAACACCATTTAATTGAAAAAATGTCATAAATCTCCATTCTCACTTGTTTTTAATAAAAACCATGCATGGCATGTGCCTTGGCTAGTTATTTGATTACAATACACAAAATAACATATAAACTATCAATTACCCTTCAACTAAAAATATATCTTTAAAAACATCATTACATTCATCACCTAATGCATATATTTACATGTATTTTAACAGTTTACAAAGATTTGACCTAATACAATATCCCAAGGTTTTAAAAAACTGGATCGGACACAAAACTGTTATGGGAATTGGTTCTTGGGTTGAATGGTTCAACCATCTTGCTTAAAAGATTAAAAAAAATTTAAAAATAAATCTATACTACTTTAAAAAGTACGAATAGCCTCAAAAATATTTATGGAATTTTTTGAGGACAAAAGTTACCCCTTTATATTTAAATTTATTGATAAAAAATAAGGGCAAATAGGTTAGTCAGTTATTAATATTAAATGAGTTGAAAAGAGATAAATCTAAGGTATTCAATTTATTCAATTCCCTCTCATTGAATCCAACATTTGAAGATATTAACTTGTATTCACCTTCACTAAATCATATATTTAAGGCATTTTTGTTTATTCTCATCATTAAATTATATTAATTAAATCCATACATAATAAATTAATAATTCTAATACCATAAAACTTGTATTTTTAAAATATACCTGAAAAAAATAGTGTTTTTTTTAAAGAAATATGAGCTACACAAGCCTAGGGTAACTTAAAAAAAGAGTGTTTTCATCTAGGTGGTGGTAAGAAATTAAACCATTTTAGATCAAATGGGCCAATCCGTGTTGCCACAATTAAATGATAAAATTCAAAAATAAATAAAATGCAATATATATATATATAAATTAAAAAATTGTGAACATTTTTAACATTATATATTCAACATATTAAACAATAACAAGGATAATAAATAAGAGATGTTTTTATTAATGATTGAAATGAAATATAAAACTTAAAACCAATTGGAAATAAAATTATTTTTCTATTCTCTCTCATTAAATTTCATATTTAAGGTATATTCTCTCGTTAACTCATATACTTAAGATATATTTCTCTCATCATTAAATTTTGTTAATTAAATCCACAACATGAATTTTAATATTATAAAAATAAATATTTTGAAAAGTAATTTGAAAACAAAACCATTTTCTCCCCTCTTGGSGGTGGATAAGCAATTCAACATTTGGGGTCAAATGGGTTAATAAATAATACTAAATTAAATAATAAAACAAAACAAATTAATATATAATATAAACAAGAAGAATTGGGCATATCTTTGATATTGTATATTTGTATATTTACTATAGAAAACAAAAATAAGTATGAAATGTAAATGATGAAAATGACATGTCAAGCTTAAAATCAACCTAGAAATGAAATTCTATCATCGTTAAATAATAAAAATTTAAAAAATTAAAAAACAAAGAATCACACAAATAAAAAAAATAGAAAAAAATTTGGGCAAATACATAATGTTATATATTTATAAAAGATAAAATATTGGTACATTTCTAATATTATACATTAATTATATTAAACATAAATAAGTATTATATATAATAAATTATTGTGAATGATGAAAATGTTAGACCTAGAAATCAAACTATTTTTCTTTTTGGATGGTGGGTTAGTGGTTTGGGTCAAATGGATTAATTGATGATATGATAGTTAAATAATAAATCTTTAAAATATAATAAAAAAGTACAAGTAATAAAAAGAATATAGATTAATTATATTAAACAAAAAATAATTGTGATAATTAAAAATTATTTATATAATGTAGATGAAATATATAATTTAAAACTAAATCAAAGCAAAGCTATTTTCTTATATAGATGGTCAATAAATGATCTAACTTTTTAGAGAATGTCATAATAGAATAATAAATATTTAAAAAATATAACAAAAAATGAAAAATACTGAATTTTGATGAAAAATATTTGGAAACATTTCTAATATTATATATTCATCATATTAAATAAAGAATGTTAAAATAAAAATTATTTTTACTTACGAATAAAATTGAGTAATAATAATAATAATAATTGTTATTAGAATTTAAAATTTTCATGTACAATACACATGCATATTACTACAAGCACTCAAATTTATTTTTAATTATATTATTATTTTTGTTAATTTTCAATTTTTATATTAACTATGTTATATCTAAAATTCAAGTAATTAATATAAATTTTTTTTTTTCACGTATAATACTATAAAACAAAAACGGCCAAAAAWTTTAGGCCAAAAAGCGATTTTAGGTAGAAAGCATATCCTATCCGTATTCATACGGATTATAAAGTGGCAAAATCTTTACCCGCCCAAAAACCTGTTTTTTCGAGAAAAAAACGCCGCATTTAAGTGGGTAGGGGCGGGTACTAGGGTAGAAATTGCATCCCTATTAATAACCATTATCTTATCAAGTCTGGGGCCGTTGGCCGAGGTCATTTTTCCTGCCCGTCTGAGTGAAGTTATACGAGAGGCGGAAAGGGAGCGCGAGCTAAGAGAGATGGCATGGAGGGGGCATCTATCTCGGAATCTGAAGGAGCTTCGGATCCTGTTCTGCCAAAGTTCGCTTGCAAGTGCTACTACCAGGTTTTCCTCCTCTTCTTCTTAGCCTTTTATCGGAATTTCATATTTTCTTTATTATTTATAAATTACTATTACTTCTTATTTAAGGAAAAAAAGAAGAGAACTTCAATACGATCTTGATCATTCCGATCTGGCCAATTATGCATTTTCAATGCGTTCCTCCTTGAATTACGGAATTATTTGAATTTGGTACAGAGAGTTTGTTCAAAGGAATTACAAGGACTTGAAGACACTGAACCCCAAGTTCCCAATCTTGATTCGTGAATGCAGCGGTGTCCAGCCTCAGCTCTGGGTCAGATTCGGTAAGCCATCTTCTTCGTAGATGTATTGTATGCACGAGACGAGATTTCACGAGATTCTTCATTATTTATTTTAACCCAAATAATTATTAAACAAAACCTATAAAAAGATTTACATTATTTTTCTATTCTTGAAAGGTGAAGATGCGGAAAAACTTGAAAGCTCTTAATCTTAGATGTCCTTATTTAGTATCTGGTTTAGAAAGATGGGTATCCCTACTATCATAGACGTTTGTATTTTTTCATTTTGTCAAGGGAAATCCGCTTGACCTTCATTTCAGCAGTTGACGCATAGATGGTAGGGCTTTACTTGAGTGCGTGACCTGCAAGAAAAGGAGGATGCATGTATGTCCTGCAATATTTTGGATGATATCTTTTTCTTAACCATTCCTGCAATATCTGAATATAGCTCAAGGAGGATGCATGTATGACCAGTGACGATATGGTAGCTCTGGGCTTTGCAGATTGCTTGCCAGGCGTCACTTGTATTCTAATAACTTCTATAATTATTCCCTATAATCTCTATAATTGTTACCCCTCTCTCAAATAACTCTTTTATTTAATGCTACATTAAACATGCCTTAAACTAACTCCTCTATTCAATGCTACGTTTAATCAATATTCATATTCAAATTCGAATTTACCATATGTCATTAAATATGCCTTAAATTAATTCCTTTATTTAATGCTACATTTAAGCAATATTCAAATTTGAATTGATCATATGCATCAAACACACCTTAAACTAGCTGTAAAAACTATAAGTGAGAGGATTCCAACCCTAGTCATTAGTTTCTAATGATCACAAGTCTACTATTAAGCCGTATTATAGCTACTTGTCATAGACATGCATTTAATTCCTAAGTAAATTCTCTCTTCTTAAGGAATGTTTGGTAATAAATGCTAAATTTGAGCAAAGGTGCCAACCAGCTGGTTGGTAAGGTCTCTTGCTGTTTGTAGCGGAGACTTGGGATCAAGTCCTACCTTCACCTGGGTTGGGGGGGTTATGGGTTTGGTGTTGGATACCCCCCATTTTGTAGCCCTTCAAAAGAAATAAAAAAATAAATAAATGATAAAATTGATTATTAAAATTTATATACCAATAAAAAAGAAATAACAAATTATATTGATTTTATGAAAATTAGTAAATTAAAATTTTAATTGTTTCATCGTTTTCAGCAAATATCAAATGTGTTCCAATGTGTTACAATGTATATAAACCATTAAAATATGATTTTTTATGTTTAAATAACTCATTTATAGTCATATAAAACTTATATTTATTATTATTAATATATTTTTTATGATTTATTTAAATTTCCTAGTATATCCATGCTTATCTTGATTTTTCGTCGGTATCCATGCGTATTCAAAGAGTATCTCAATAAATATCTTAAAATTGCCCTACTGATACATGACCTTGATGGGGTATAGTGAAGAAAGAATTGATGGAGATGTTTATGGAGCTATGGAGGGAGAAAGATCGAAAAATTGGCAAATGCAACCTTCATTTCTCTAATTTTGAAGATTGATGGAGCTGTCAAAATTAAGGATTTCAGACCTATTAGTTTAACCCTTGTAGCAGAGCTAATAGTTCAACCTTTAAAGAATCACCTTCCCCTAAACGTCTTGAGTACATAGCCAATACTTTGCTTGAGGAATCTCTGATCACACCACCAATGCCTGCCATACCCAGGTTTTCTATTGAGCTCCCATAAAAGTTCAGTTTAACTTTGTTGGGACCTGGGGGCTTCCACTCCATCACCTTTCCTTATTTCTTCTCAGCAGTGTGTGCCACTTCATTCCATGCTCTTACTATATCAGTAATCGAGAAACTTTGAAAGAGCTGAAGTGATTTCACCTAGTGTGCAACTTTTATCTCTATGGCCTCCACTAGATCTTCTTAGATGGGGTGTTAATTGCAAGTGAGTGTTTGGATGCAAAGATTAGAAGTGGGAGGAGGGGGGTGATTTGTAAAATTGATATGGAAAAAGTGTATGATCATGTGGAATGGGGTTTTCTAAAAGTTCTGAGAAGAATGAATTTTGGGGAAAAGTGGAGGAGTTGGATGTTTGTTTGCATGTGTGCGTTTCTTCAGTTTCTTTCTCAGTGTTAGTGAATGGGATTTCCACAAAAATTTTCAATGCATCTTGGGGTTTGAGGCAAGGAGATCCTCTTTCCCCATTCCATTAGTATTTGTGCTAGTAGCGGAAGTGTTGAGTAAGTTGGTAAATAAAGGGGTGGAAGCAGGAATAATTAATGCCTTCAAGGTGGGAAGAGACAGAATGAGTATTTCACATCTACTATATGCGGATGTTTCCAATTGATTTTTTTAGATGCTTCAGTGGAGCAAGCGTTAAAGTTAAGAGGTAACACCACCGAAGAGGCACGAGCTGTTACCTCTTCAGAAAGGTATTACATCAAAATAAAACAGAATTAACCATAAATAAAATTACAAAGCAGCCTAAAATAGCTGCTCCCTTGTAGGCCCCTGCTTAGCTAACCCATCCGCTAAGGTGTTTGCTGATCTTCCCACCCATAGAGAGGTAATAGTCATATTTCTTGTAAGCCAGTTTACTCTCCTTAATAAATCTCTGTGTTGCCACATGGCTGAAGCTGGGTCTTTCAACCATCCCACCACAATTTGAGAGTCTCCTTCAACTACCAAGTGCTGAACCCCTAATTGTTCTGCAATCTGAATACCTTGTATCGCCGCTAAAATCTCAGCTCTATTAGAGTCTCCTATTCCCACGGGGCCTGCGAACAAGGCTAATATGTTGCTCTCCATGTCTCTCAGCACCCCTCCTATCCCCGATGGGCCTGGGTTTCCTTGGCTGCTGCCATCAAAGTTCAACTTTACCCATCCTTCAGGCGGAGGGGTCCACACTACAGATTCCCTGTCCTTGTATGGCTGTTAGCCACCACTACCCAGTTTCTCCAAATATCATCAAAGAAAAAGGTATGAAAGAAATCCAAAGTTCTCAACCAGTGAATGACCCTAGTCAATATACAATCCTCAACGGCTTGAATGCTTCTTTTTTTTTCTTTGAAAATCCTTGCATTCCTTTCTTCCCAAATTGTCCACAATGCAACTGCTCTAATACATCTCCACATCAATTTCCTTTTTTTGTAGGGCACACAAAAAAGGAGGGATCGAACAGTTGGCTTAAGTCTGTGGACAGATTCCACCTACACCCAAATAAAGAGAAAATCCAACTCCAAATAGCTCTARAAAAGGAACAAGATACAAGTAGGTGGGAGCAATCCTCACCAYTAGCCCTGCAAAGTACACACCAGTTAGGGGATAAACACATGAAAGGCCTTTTCCTCTGCAAGAAATCCAAGAAAACACCTCCCAGCAAGAGTGTAATGATGGGTCTAAAGATCAATCTCAGCAAGAGTGTAATGATTGGAGTGGGTGATATTCAGCAATTGATGCTTGAGGAGTGTGCTGATTAGATGGGTTGTCTGATTGGTGAGTAAGTGAGTTTCCTTTCACTTATTTGGGATTCCCAATTGGGGCAAGGGCGGTGGATTCATCTACTTGGAAGCTAGTTCTGAATATGCTATAATGGAGATTGGCCGTCTGTAATGGGAAGTAATTGTCTTTTGGTGGAAGGATCGCAATCATAAATAGTGTGCTTTCCAACCAATTGATTTATTATTTGTTCCTCCTTAAGCGTTCACATTGGAGATAGAAGAGATTGAAAAGCTTCAAATGGAGTTTTTGTGGAGTTTGAACTTGGAACATAAGAAATTTCATTTAGTAAAGTGGGATTGGGTTTGTAGGGCAAAAAAGAGAGCATTGAGGATTAGGAGGGTGGCAACATTCAAAAAGCTTTATTGGGTACATGGGTTTGGAGATATGGGAGGGAGATGGAAGCATTGTGAAGGAGAGTGGTGGCCTGCAAATATGAGGTAGTGAATTTTGGGTGAGATTTAAGGTAAGTGAAGTCATCTTATGGGGTTAGTGTGTGGAAAGGCATAATGAAATACTACTCCCTGGTGCAACCGTTGTTGTCTTGGAAGGTGGGGAATGGATCAAGCACCAGATTTTGGGAGGATGAATGGTCAAAGGTGGGGAAACTTTGTGATCTTTGTCCAAGGCTGTATAATTTGAGTAGGAAGGGTTTGATATAATCTCACAATGCTATGAGGTAAGGCAAGGGGTGGTGGTTTGGTGTCCTTATGTTTTTTAGAAGACTGCTGCTGGATTGGGAAGTCAATGAGTGCATGAGGTTGCTGGCCAAGCTACAAAGAGTAGAAGTTGATCCAGGGGGTGTAGATGCTAAATGGTGGAAGGAGTGTATATATATATATATATATATATATATATATCGTTTAGATCTTTTTACAAAGCTTTGGCAAGAAATCAGGTGGAAGCTACCTTAGTCAAAGGTGTTTGGGGAAATCTAGTTCCCCCAAGAGTGGAGGCTTTTGCATGGCTGGTTTCAATGGATTGTATTCTCACTCAAGGTAAATTGAAGAAGAGAGGATTTCATTTGTCAAATAGATATTTGCCGTGCCTCTCAGAGGAATAAAAATATTTTTGCTTCCTGGTAAGATCCATCTTTTCAAGAGGACTTTGGGGCTATTTCTTCCAATTAATTGGAAGGTTGGTCACCTGATGATCCAAAGGAGATTTTTGAGCTTTGGCCATGATTCAATGGAGACATCAAAGCAAAGATTTTATGGAGCAGCATTCCTTTTGCTGTTTGTTGGGAGATTTGGAAAGAAAGGAATAGAAGAATTTTTGAAGGGAAGATGAAGAGGAAGGAAAGGTTGGGTTTAGTTATTGGAGCTATGCTTATAGAGTGGATGCTAATTCTTCCAGAATTTGAAGGCTTTTTAAAAGAGAAGATTTTGGTTCAAGTTTTTCAATTACTACGAGTTTGAGTTAATGTAATTTGTTTAAAAAAACACTCCAAAGGAGAATTTTATGCTTTGACCAAGATTCAATGGAGAAATCAAAGCAAAGATTTCATGGAGCTGCATTCCTTTTGTTGTTTGTTGAGACTTGGGAGATTTGGAAAGAACAGAATAGTAAGAATTTTGGAAGGGAAGATAAAGAGCAAGGTAAGGTTGGGTGCAGTTATCGAAGCAAAGCTTATGGATTGGATGCTGATTCTTCCAGAATTTGAAGGCTTTAAAGAGGATTTTGGTGGTTTGAATTTCTGGGTTACTATGAATTTCAGTTGATTAACTTGTTAAAAAAAGACTTGAAYGGTTTTTCCATTGTTTCTTATTTTTGGTTTTGGGTGGGTGACACCCTTTCACCAAATCTTTTTGCATGTTTAATAAATTTCTTTATTTATTTATCTTAAAAAAAAGATAAGCTGGTTCTTAGCGGCATGAACATCCACAGGACCACAATATGAAATTTGTTCCTTGTGGAATGGAAGAGAGCAGAAGCAACCATTTATTCTTTTACTGCAGTTTCAGTAGCCAGGTATGGAGTATTAATTTAGCCATTTTTGGGGTGAATTGGCTCGAGTCTTTACTGGAAACGTTTCAAGGGTGGTATCTGCCCAACTTGAGCAGAAGGGTATGCCGGTATGGTGGTATTGGGGCCGGCTGTGGACGTTATGGATGGAAAGAAACTATAGAGTTTCTGATAACAAACAAGCATCTATAGAACATAGTTTTCAAGGCGCCAAGGTGAGGCTAGGCGGCTGGGGGCACCTTGTCGCCTAGTCGCCTAGGTGTTTATGTTAAAAACAGAGATCCTAGGGTAGTTCCCTAGGTACCATAACCATATTTCTTTAATAATTATTCATGATTTTCATAGGAAAAGCATAAATTTCATATTAAAGTATAGAAAACCAACATGTTCATGAGAAGAAAAGGAAGAAGGAATATAAAATTCAAAAAATATAGGGGCTGAACCCCTATTTTTGTTATAGGAAAAGAAGAAAATAAAAAGTATTGGTAGTGGTAGTAGTAGAAGAAGAATATATGGAAGAGGAAAATGTGCTGATTAGATAAAATTTGTAGTTCTTCCTTATTGGTTCAGGTTCTTAAGTCTTTGAGGGTTACAGCATTTAGCAATGTTTGTGTTGATTAAACCCTAATAAATAAGAAAATAATAAAAAGAAATTAGTATATAAACACACAAATGATTATTTTAGTTTAATAATGTCTATTTTATAATTATAATCTCAATAAAGAATGAATAAAAAAGTATTTATAGTAGGAAGTAGAAAACCGCTAGGCGATTAGGCGAGGCGAGCCTCAAAAGGGTGCCTTGTCACGTAGGTGGTGCCTTGACAACTATACTATTGAAATGGTTTTGAGAAGGGTGAAAGCATCTGTAGAGATTCCTGGCTTGAAATCCAAAGAGAGTTTAAGGTGTGTGCAGCCAGAATTTTTTCTTTTTAATTTTTGCTCTTCTGAACTTTGTCAAAATTAATGAAATATTTCTTATGGTCACAACCTTTGGCATTGAGCAATGCTAGAATGGCTAATCATAGATTCCTTATAAAAGATCGAGATGCTTTTATCAAATATGAATTATCTTGAAACTATTGCTTCAGCTTTGTTTTTATTTCTCTAAGGTCTTCTTAGGTTGTTTGGCTTATACCCTCATTCAACAACCAATCTCATGCCATCTGCAATCTGAATTTTCCTTTATTCTGAACAGACAATGGAGTAGAAAGAGGTTTCCACTTGGAAGGCCTATCAGAAACACAGATTGTGAAGGCACTTGAGGACCTCGTCAAAGTTGGAGCAGCCCTTAAAGCCTGATGCCGCTGCTTCTTTGTTTCCTCTTAATTGAATAAATAATGTATTCTTGGAACTTTGATAGAACCACTTTCTGATTTGTTGCCTATTTGACTATGTTTTTTAGCAGGACCATTTCCAGGAAATGCTTATTTATTTCAGAAACCTCATAAATTGATGCGTAAATTACAGACAACCACCCCATATTTAGGTGGTGGTAATAGTTAGCCCTCCTGACTTTATTTTGCGACAAAGATCTCGAGTTTCTAGATTTCAAAATTTTGACCCCTTAAGCCGCAGACAAGATTGATGGTGAAAAGTATAATTATTAAATTGCCCTTTGAGACTTTAGGGCTGACAACAACAAATATGAAATATCTAAATGATGAAAACAATAATTATAAAGCACAGATTGTTCTCTGAGGGGGGTATTGATGAATTGATCATCATCAAGGTGTTCTGTACTAACGATGAGGGCTGTCCCCAGGTAGCAAAATTTTGTCCCACCCAATAAAATTTGAGCACGTCCCTCGTTTGCTTGCCGAGACTTTAACGTCGGTCCAGATTTTGTTAAATATCGTATGATCTAATATCTTGTCCATTCAAACTCTTGAGATAGATTCATTCCATCTCGAACTTCTCTCCGTCTTTTTTCTTTCTCCGATCACCTCGGGTTCCACCCCTGCTATTTCTATCATTACAGCTCACCGGATAGGCTCAGTTAGATTCAAATTCTCTGTTCTATACTTGTTCTTATAGATAAAATAATCGAAGAAAATAGAAAAGGAAAATCCTTTAATAACAAAACAATCGAAATTGCATTATGTTTCACATTAGTTCTGGAGGGCCTTCTGGTCTCAATTTGACCCAGGTTAATTTCGAAGGGAGAAAAATGATAGTTCTATGGATTTAGCTATCACTCTATCAGGATTAATTTAAGAATTATCATTGTTATCGTGGCATTTTCATTTGATATTAGATGAAAATTCATTAGGTTTTACTTTTTTTTTGTTTTTTTCAACTTCTAAAAAAACATGTTAACCATCATTCAGAATGCAAAAATGGAAGGATGACTCTGCAAAAATCGACTATTTTCCTTCTCAAGTGCTACCATTGTTGGGTTCACGGGAGATGTTGCAGTTAGGGGTGGATTTGAGTTGAGCCGAGCCGAATACTACCAGACTCGAGTTCGACTCGAGACTGTTCTACAAGGTTCGAGCTTTGCCACCCCTAGTTGCAGCGGTGGAATGATTGGCAAGTGGTCTTTGACAGTTGCAGCTGGGAAGAAGAAATGAGTTTGAGAGAAGGTTGAGCGGTTGAGAGCAGCCTCTGACTGTTGGTAGCAGTGGTCTCTGGCGGTCAGTGGAATCAGAGGTGACCGGGGAAAGAAAAGAAGACAGAGAGACGGGTTCAAGATAAAATGAATTTATCTCAAGAGTTTGGGCGGACAAGATATCAGACATCAGAGTAAATGAAATTTATTTTTTTTTTTCGAAGTCCAGACTGACGTTAAAATTTGGACACTGTTGACTCTTAGCGTCAAGCGGACTAGGGACATTTTCAAATTTGGGTGGGACAGACATGTTCAAATTTTCTGTCCCCTGGGGAGAGACGAGCAAAGTGCTGGTGGAATCCAAAAATCCATCAGGGTGTGTCACAAATAAAGTTCAGGGGCCTAAGTGTTATTATTCTAAAAGTATAGGATGCTTTCTATATCCTATTTTGATTGTTGTATGTAATAAGTGCTTAAGAATTACCGTGCACTCTCAAATGTCAAGTAAGAGCAATTTATGATCATTGTGAAATATTTTTTTAATCTTCTGCATATGTATCTAATCACACGGATCAAAATAAGTTCCAACACTCTACCAACGTAATCTGACACTATACATCTGACCATGAGACTGGGATCCACCATGTATGAGATGTGTGGTGTCTGATCATATTGGTAAGGGGTTGGAATGTGTTTTGTTGGCAGGAGATCCAGACTCGGGCATGTTCCAGTCTGTTCTGGATTGAGCATGGCAAAACATGTTTTTGTTTGGGACGAATTAATTCCAATCCATTGTTTAATTAATTATTTTTATGATGTTTTATTTGTTTTAATTAATTTTAACATTTACTTTTGATTAATTGTAAAATATAACTTATGAATAAGATACACATTTCAAATTTATGGATGCTTAATATATGGTATTGGTGCAACAGTTGGTGTTCCATTGTGACGTGAGTGATTAGAGTCCAAATTTTGGAAACAACTTCTCTATATGTGCAGGAGTAAAGTTGCGTACATCTATCCCTCCCCAGATCCTACATTGGCGGGAACATCATGCATTAGGCTGCCATTTTTGTTAATTTTATGTGTCAACACACTGAGACTATGGTACAAAACACATCATTTGTTGTGGTTCATCTCAGCACACACTACACCATAACCTACGGAAGGCATGGTGTGTTTCTGAACCATGGTTCTATGATGCACTATGCTGGTGTAGTGTGTTCTGGGATCAGCCACACTTTTTTCAACCACGGAAAATAATAAACCCTATTTTTAATCAAAGGACCAATATGGTTTGTGAATCAGAGGACCCAAATGTTGCAATTCCCAGCTGTTCCTCAACATCCCACCAAATACTTTGTTTTTGAATACATRGTGCTAAGTTGTTAATTAAAGCTCTGTAACTTTTTTTCCTCTTTTAGGAACATTTTTTTCTCTTCCTGGTTAACAAACCGCTGACTCTAATGGTTGACCGCTAAAATATTCTACCCAGACAACAGTTTCTAGGCCAATTTTATATTTTAATGTTTACTATTCTAATGGGCTAATATATTCGGACCTTGAACCATTGACCTAGAAACAGGTGGCTAAAGCGGTTCTGTTTCTATGTTGGTTTTTAAGACCTTGAAAAATATTGCTGTGCAAAACTTTCTCAACACAACAACGGTTTGCATTTTTGGCTTCTCTAGTTTGATGGGAATATGAAGAAAGCCGAGAAAAACAGTACTTCCTTGACTCTGTTTGAAGTCATCTTAATGCAAGGTCAGGCATCTACATAATTGAAAACCTATCACGTTTTATTTGAGATTTACCATTTATATGATATATTTCATATATCTAATTTGAATTCCTTATAATTGAAAACCTATCTCATTTAAAAAATGGGACCAACACCATTTAAAGTCTATATAACTAGTCTCATTTGACTTAGTGAATTAAATTAGAAAGATTTAATATGAGCCACCAATCTTTTGTAGTAAATAATTTTTTGATAGGTAGCAACATGTTTAAAGATTTGATATGAGCCACATGTCCAAGAAAAAAGCTTCTATTTGTGAATAGAAAGAACAACTCAATACTCTTTCTTGGGAGGATAAAGTGCCTCTTATTTGAAGTAGAAGCTTTCTAATTTGAGGGCTTTCCTTTAATATATCTAAAACAAAATCAATGAACTGTTGGTATTTAATGCATACATTGCAATATTTTGAACTTTGTTTGTAGCCTTGTAAACCCATTTAAATGGGCACTTTCAAATTAGCATTTAACAATCCAAATTTAACTACCATAAAGAGAATGCGGTACGCAGATTATCTTGGGGATTCTTTTTTTATTCAAAGCAAAATGTAGTTGGCACTAAAATATCTCTTTGCTATACGTTTTTCTTTACCCTTCTCATATTGAGAACATGTTATTTTCATGTAGGCCAAAAATTTTCCTCAAATTTCGAGGTGACAACAAAATCTGGACTATACTCAATGCTGTACAGAGGATTGAACTACATCTACAAGTGAGGAACAGAAAAGGACCGAACCAAAGTGTCATCCTTACAGGCAGTGTTTAAATTTTGAGCTCAACTTACTTCCAATATACAAAAACACGTTACAAGTGTCACAAGGAGTGTGGTCCTCAAGGTGGAGCACAAGTCTTCAATGTACACCATAGCCAACTAAGAGTATAACCAAGCTCACGTCAGATTGGGGATATTGCGGTGTGTGTCGGCAAATTCTCGGATTATGCGCTTCAGAATTCTTCCTCCTTTCCCTTGCATATGACCGTGATTATTTCTTTCTCCATTGCAGGTCTTGCTCTCGAGGTAATCTGATGCCGCATCAGTGAGAGCCTTTAGCCACATTGGCACTATTGTTTCTACTTCTCCTTGCTTTAGGTACTCAGCAGGCAAAGCCTGTACCTGATAAATGGTGAAGGAAGCCATTTCATTTACCATTGAAAAACAAGCACACACAGAGAGAGAAAGAGAGAGAGAGAGAGAGAGAGAGAGACCGTTGACTGTAGCCATCCATGTAATGATTCCCAAGAAAGAACCACTTTCCAGGTAGTCCTCTCACTTAGACTGCAAATTGCTGCTAACTGTTGTAAGATAGTTGCAGATTTGTGGACCTATTAAGAAAAAGAAGCAAATTAGCCCCTCAGCTATCTTGACAAGAACGTTGATGCAATAAAAGAAAATATACTATGTGTTAGTAAAATTTGTTGCTCTATAGCTATCCCTTACAGTGAAGGAACCATGCATAAAAGACCAACTATAGGAACACAATTTAAACCTGGCATAACCTCTCATTTCACTAGTCACATCGTTCACTGGGATTTTAAGATGATCTCAGATAGAAAAAGAGAAGAAAGAAAAGAATTCATCTAAATCCTGCACAATTAATCTCCAACCTTTGATGGCTTCTACCTTTTCATCCTAATTTTTTCCTTCATTTGTTTATGGGAATATTGAAAATTTAGGCATTTTGAAATGGTTGTACCCACCATCAAATATTTGTTCCAATTCATAAACGTCATCTGATCAACACTCATTATATGAGCAACGATCCTTACTAAAAATCTGGATATATTTATGAGCATTGGTTTTGATACAAAGAATATATATATGCAAGAGAGAGAGAGAGAGAGAGAGAGAGAGGTAAATAAAATATTTACCCTTGACATTGCTGGAACACCAAGTAAAGCATATATCACATTAGATATGAGTCCCTCACCACTATGGGATATGACCTGAATTGCCATTGCACTGAATGAACCTTCGGTCATGCAAGACATGGATTCCAACAATGAGGTCAGGGCAACCTCTAAAAAACCTGCAACGTTTGAGGTGCATCCCCCCCCAAAAAAGAAAGAAAAACTAATGTTCAAAATAAACTTGAGGATTCAGGCGCATCAGGAAACATAAACAAGAAACAAAGAGCCTAATGAACAGGACAAATAGGAAAACTCAAAGACCAATATGCATATTCAGATGTCATCATTTACACCTACAAAGAGTTCATAGGAGCATAAGAACTGACAATGTATTTAGCAAGTACATTACTTGATTAAGATTTGTGGGTAGATACAACAAATCTTGCCAACCCTGCCTTTTAATTGCTAACTTCCATAAGATGCAAACAAGTATATAGATCAACAAGTCTGATAGTCAGGTCATACACTGGTTACATGGTAGACCTATGGAAAATATATACAATTTAGTGGAACTATAACCATGATGAAAAGTAGCTTGGACAGTCTAATTGGAAACTAAAGTAGAAAATCAATTAAGCCAACTCAGCAGTAGACTCCAAACTAACAACAACCTAAATGCAAAGATAAAGGGTTCAGATATTGGTCCAAGTCATGAGAGCTCAACTCAGTCCTAAAGACCACCTACTAACTCTTACAACCAACAAGAAAGGAGTTATGGAGGTGGTGGTTCATGAACTACAGGGATGACAACAATAAGGACATGCATCAAGTCAATGCTGGGCAAGACAAGTGAATTAAGCTACCAATGAGCATGAAAAGGAGCACTATGGTGATGATGCAAAGGATATGGACGTCTGCCTGAACTTGTCAATCAAATGGAAGAAGATGTGGTTCAAGAAGACTATGATGCACCCATATTAGTAGTGAGACACATTTTTGTAACATGACCATTGACAGCAGCATTTGCAATATTTTGGTGCCTCAAGAGATGGTAACAAAGTTTGAATTTGAAAATCCAACTCCATTCAAAGTCTTATCATACTAAAGTATGGTTAAAAAAGGGGAGTTGATGTTTCTACATTGAAATGTTACTTTTCATATTAGGAATAAATACAAGGATGAAGTAATGTGTTACTATGGGTTCAAACTGTGATCCCAGAAACTCCAACTTTTGTATCTATGACTCCTAATTGCTAGTGATGGCAGTTTCATCCACATAAACAATCAAGACTGCTATTATATCCATATCTCTATTAACAAAAAGAGTATGATTGACTTGGAATTGCTTAAATCCTTGGAATATCATTTTTTTGTCTGCTCTCTAGCATCTTCAGCTACTAAAAAAAACCAAGGTACTATCTCATACAGCAATGGAATTGCCAAAGCATGTTTGGGGAAGGCTTACAAATTGGGCAGGTCAAATTCAAGGGCCTGAATTTAAATCTTCTAGCTTCAAGCTAAGCCTAGGTCTGAAAGTGAAAAATCTTGAGCCAAGCTTGAGTTAAGGCCTCAGATAGCCCAATCCCAACACAAGCTTGCCCGAAGCCTGGTCAAGCCTGCCCCAGATGCAGCCCTAGTTTTGGATGGTTTATTTGCTAGGAGCTGTTGAAAATGATGGTCCTCATGACCTGCTTAGCATTACTCGTTCAACAGTTTTCTTAAACAATCCCGTTTGACAATGACAAATTGAAGAGTCAAGGGTCTAGAAGAGTAGGGCAGACCAAAAAGGACAAAGTAATGAGGAATGAATTACAGGACCATAATTTAACAATTTATATGGTTTCTAAACTAGGTTATGAACTTGTGATAGTAGATCCAAGCAACTTTCAATTGCCTGGAAAAGTTACTGTTGGATATTCAAAGATTTATTAGAGGTGATGGCAATAGCATTCCTTTTTTGAGATTTCAGCAAGTCTTTTTTTTTTTTCCTTGAGGTGTGGCTACAACTCCACTGGGAGTAAATTTTAGGGTTTAAAAAAGATTTAATAATGGATATGACACTGAACAGAGTTGAATAGTGGAACAGTATTCAAATTCATACCCCATATAGATGAGACAAAGCTTAGTTGAGTAAAATCCTATATGGCATAACAGATTTTCATTTCAAACTATTCCTCCTATAATTAACAAAACCATACACAAGTCAATTTCTTGATATATTATACTTACAGGACATGTATGACATGGCTGCTAATGCTGCCCCACGATGCATGGCTGTGCAACATATAGCTGCCTTCTGGAAGGAAATTTCAAGAAGAGAACCAGAAGCAGCCAGTATTTCCTGGAAGGATGTATACAACCATCTGATAAGCATTTTTTTCTTAGGAGAAAATTGATAAAAAGAAATACTTAACTATAAAAATGAGCATTGTTCCTTTCAACAAATTACTTATTTCTCAAAAGAAGTGATGGGCAAAGGATTAGGAATGTATAGGAGAACCTACTGATTGGAAAAAAGTAAAAGGAAAATTTTAGAACCTTGGGGCAGACACGAACAAACATAGATGCAAAGGCAGTGTAGGCCTCGACCAAATCGGGCTCTTGATCACAAATGTATGAAGAATTTAGAGCCATTATTGAAGCCGCAGAAGTGAACCTTTGAAAGGTGCTAACATATAAAGGTCCATACTCTTCTCTATGACCGAATTCTTCAATAACAACAGCAGCTGATAGAAATTGGTTTCCCAAAGAGAAGACAAGGGATCAGTGAAATGCATTGAATCATCACATGAACATTTAAGAATATAAAAGAAAACCTTATTGCAAGCATGTTACATAGTTATAGGCTCATGTATCATAACTAATTCTTTCAGAACAAAGCACAACACCAGTGGATACAAGCAAAGAAAAGGTGAACACACAATTCGAGGGAAAATGCATGCATTTGTTCTTGGCAAGTGTTTAGAGATGTCAACGGATCTGGTTAATGGTAAACATGGCTCAGTGTTCTAAAAGTGAAAGGGCCTTTTTGCGCTAAGGTGTGAGGTGTGCGCCTTTTCGAAGCAAGGTGCAAAAATTTTTGAAAATTCAAAAAATATGCAAAAAATTGCAAAAAATATTAAAATAATATTAGTTTAGAAAATTTAAACTTAAACTTTAAACTACATATTTTAAAATTTCTATTGGCTTAATTAAAATATACAATAAAACATGTGTTAGATAGTATATGTCGTCAGCTCCAACCATAGTTGTCAAGGCGATGCCTAGGCGACAAGGCGCCCTTTGAGGCTCGCCTCACCTAATCGCCAAGCAGTTTTTTACTTCCAACTATAAAATACCTTTTTGTTCATTCCTTTTTGAGATTATAATTATAAAATAGACATTATTAAACTAAAATAATCATTTTGTGTGTTTATATACTAATTTCTTTTTATTGTTTTCTTATTTATTAGGGTTTAATCAACACAAACATTGCTAAATGCTGTATTGAACCCTCAAAGACTTCAAAACCTGAACCAATAAGTAAGGAAGAACTTAAATTTTATCTAGTCAGCACATTTTATTCTTCCATATATTCTTCTACTCCTACTTCTTCTTCTTTTTTTTGATGAATACTTCTTCTTCTTCTTCTTCTTCTACTACTACTACTACCATTATTTTTTCTTTTCCTCTTTTCCTATAACGAATATAAGGGTTCATCCCCTATATTTTTTGAATTTTATTTTCCTTCTTATTTTTCTTTTCATGAATATGTTGATTTTCTATACTTTAATATGAACTTTATACTTATGAAAATTATGAATAATTATTAAGGAAATATGGTTATGGTACCTAGGGAACTACCCTAGGATCTATGTTTTCAACATACAAAAATCCATTACCCTGGCGACTAGGCGACAAGGCACCCCCCTGTTGCCTAGCCTTGCCTTGGTGCCTTGAAAACTATGGCTCCAACAGGAGTGATGTAACATTCTTGTACTACCAAGTTGATGGAGTAGTTTGTCTCAACTACTTAAGTTAGAACTAAGGTATAGTAGGTGGGTGTTTTGAGAAACACTACATGGGGCCATTTTTAGTTAAACCCTAGACCTTGGAGACAGAGGGGTAAAACTAGAAAGTCACACTTAACCCTTGAATTTGATAGTGATGCCACATTGGATATTAGATTGACTTGCTTTTGATCCAACTGGTCAGATCTTTTTGGGGCCAAATACCTAAGTATGTTGGAATAGACTAGAAGAATACTTGAGTGGGTGATCATTGTGATGGATTAGCTACGCTATCCCTAAAGAGAATATCATGGTTTACACTCTCTGGTGGAAACCTAAAACTATCAGCAGTGGATTTTAACTTGTTTTGAAATTAGTTTTGCAAAGTGTATTTATATTTATAAATATTTTATTTTTAAAAAGGTCTGTACATTGGTTTTAATCCCAGGATCCATTTGAATGGAGAGTGTGGCACTACATCTTGCAGTCAGGAAAGAGGTCCTTTCCTATCAGCAGTGTTTTGATATTATTGGCTGAGAGGTTATCTACAAATGTCTACTTGGGTTGAAACCTGATGGGCATTTTCTCAGTTTAAACCATTAGGCTTGGGCTCATAGGATAACTGGAATCCAAACCCTTTGATACATAATGTTGGGCCTAATTTAGGCCCAATATATGTTGGAACAATTCACAAAGTAAGACTTAGTGAATTCAACCTATGTAATCAAGTATGTGGGCTGAACCCATTTAGTTTAATCTGAGATCTTAGTGGTCCCATGCCATACAAAGATAAAGTCTATGGGCTGGTCAAAGTATGAGAGAACAAGGATTTCTTAAGAGGCAAGTTTGTTTCCAACTTGCTAGTTTGACTAGGTAGTTAATTTGTTGGAAACTTAGGGTTGAATCAGGAAGCTAGTTAGTTCTCCCAAATTCCTAAGTTTGTAAGGATTGTTTCCTATTTGTTAGCTTTCTTAATTAAGCAGGATAGAAATAGAAAACTCCTTGTAGGATTCTAAGAGTCCTATAAAAGATAGAGTATGGGAGATCTAAGCATGCAATCAAGACTTCTTGCACCCAAAACCCTAGTTTGACCTAAGGGAAAAGAGAGCTCCTTTCTCTCTTTTCTTCTCCAGTTTTTCTATAAAACTACAGTTTCTTAAGAGGATTAAGAGTGCACAATATTGTTGGATTTGATCAAGGCAATTAACTACACAAAGTTCAGCATTGATTCTCCATGCTTTTAGCAAGATTAGATCTCAACTTTGAGCTGCGCCATCTTTAGCTTGGAGATTGATTTGGGCTTGATTCTTTGGGTGTGCGTACCACTTTGGGAGCTGCAATTGTGGACTTCGTATCAAATAACACTCTTCCCAATTAGTTGTTCAAATTGGCACGGTTATTCTAGATTGATCCAATGAGAAAACTGTTTCTCATGGGAAACTCAGTTTCTCAATATTAGACTGAATCAAGAATTTTGAAATTCAGGTTTCCCACCACAAAGGTTCAACCTTTATTGCTTTATTTCAGCCCATTCTTCAATAAAATCAAACATGACATATAAAACATATTAAAACATGTGAAACTATCAATCTCTTTATTTCTTTTCCAATCACATTACTTTAAATGGCTAAATGTATTCTGAATTCTACAAGCTGCCTTTGTACCAAACCCATTGGTGCAACCCCAAAGAAGCCCATATTAGGATCTTATATTCTTAACCTGTACATAAACTATTCATTTTTTAATTATAATTATAGTTTCTTATCTTAAATTCTCAAAATGAAAAGCTCGTGGGAGAAAAAACCTACTCTATGACTGTTCACTGTTGCATGAAGCTCCAAAGCCAAGTCTTTCCTATTTCCACATGAAAGGTAGTATTTCCCCCTTATTTTTTCCAATTGCTACTGATTGTTTTTTGTTATTTGTTATCTTCTTCTTATTTTGGCTTGTTCTTTGCTGTTCTTTTTCTTGTTTTCCCTCTTGTACAAGGGACTCTGCCCTATTGTTTTGAAACCCTTATTTTCTATCCATTTTTAAACAAAAAAACAGGAGCTACACCCCATTTTCTCTTGCTGTAATAATGGGCTTTGCCTTATTTTTTTAGAAAGATTTAGTTTTTTGATGCAAGACCAGGGGCTAACTCAATTTCCATCCTGTTTTACACAAAAAGCAGGGGGTGCACCCCATTTCTTTTTCCATCGGTTTCAACAAAAGCAGAGGCTTTGCCCCATTTTCTTTTCCCATCATTTTTGATATAAAACAAGGACTGCTCCATTTCTTTCCATCACTTTTGATACAAAGCAGGGGGCTCCGCCCTATTATTTTTGACTTCATTTTTCGATGCAAAACAAGGACTCTGCCCCATTTCTTTTTTCATTTTGTATTTCTTTACACATGAAACCAGGGGTTTTGTTCCATTTCTTTTTCCTTTTATATTCTCTTGCTTTTTGTCTTCTTTTTATCATGAAAACAGAACATCTCACGTGTATTAAGACTTTCCTTAGACTTTAGAATTAAAATGCATCCATGAAGGCACGGAAAAAGAATGGGGATAAAGATAACTTAATAATAATGTATTTCATCCTTGAATACTGATGTGTAGCTTAAAATTTTCATTTTGTATAAAACTTTAGAATTGAATACTGATGTCTAGTTTAAAATTTGAATTATTTTGTTCTCGAATCTGTGCAGACTCTACACAACCTAGTAATTATTCTCTCATTTTAGTATTTCTTGTGATGCATGTTTAATTTTAACAATTGAAATAATAGAAACTAGAGAAAATGTGGTTCTTTTTCTTTCAATTAAAAAAATTAGGAATAAAGATAACTCAATAATAATGTTGTAGTGATAATATTATATTAATTATTAAATATGTGCTTATTTTTAATAATTTTTTTTTGGAGTTGGCACTGCAAGTTTGCAATAATGCAGCTTGCAACATTTTGTACAACTTGGGTATTTTATATAGTTTTTTGACAACTTTAAGAAAAATCAGAAAAAAACTTATGATTTATGATACAATTTGATTCAAATCCCTTTACTGTTTATGATATGATTATGAAATTTAAAACATTGCCTGGAGCACCAGAAACTCCTAATCCACCTTCTATCTAGATCCAGGAATTTTGATTTTTGCAACAACACAACATCCGGCCTCTCCTTAATAGATCTTTTTTTATCAGCAAAGAAAATCATTAAGCATTAATAAAATTAAATTAGTTACAACAAGTGGAGCATTCCAAGTTAACCCAAAAACAAAGATCTAACCTTTTGCTCAAAAAAGTGAATTCTATTGACCCCCTGTTTAGCCAATACATCAACCATTCCATTTGTTGTTCTTCTAACCCAATCGAAAGTGGTGTTGAGTTCCCTCAAAAAGGTAAGTTATCTCCCTCAAGGCATGCCTGTAGATCCAAGGAACTGAATTGATTTTCCTTGTCCAAGATAAAATCAATTTTCAATCCCCTTGCAGCAGTGCCAATAATTCTGACTGAGCCACCATTTCCAATTGGCCCAGAATACAAGCCACTACTGAGCCCAAGTGGTTCCTGAAAACATCCCCTATACCTGCTCTCCCCAGATCACTCATGTAGCTACATCAAAGTTCAGTTTTATCTTGCTAACAGCTGGTGGATTCCAATTCATATGCACTTTTCTTTCCTTGTTCCTGTTTGTCACTTCTATCCAAGTTCTTACAATATCAATGACTGAGAATGTTCAAAATAATTTCAAAGATTTTAACTTTTTTTGATCAGGAGCAAAAAACATAGATTTATTGTTAGAAAATAAATTTACAACATCTTGAGTAGCCTCGACTACCTAGTGTTTTAAAAGCGCAAGGCGCAAAAAAAGGCATAGGGGTCAATTTGCACTTGAGGTGCAAGGCGAGGCGTGCACCTCTTTTTGAAGCAAGGCGCAAAATAAAAAAATTCTAAAAAATAAAAAAAATAAAAAAAAGCCAAAAAAGCAAAAATATTAAAAAAGATTAAACATAATATTAATAAAAATATAAACTTTAAATTTAAAATAAATGTTTTAAAAAACCTATTATCTAAAATTAAAATACATAAACATAACATGTAAAGAATATTCAAATGTGAATTTAGAAATAAAATCAAACATATAAACCATTTTCAAGCATGTAAAACCCACAATCTCTTTTTTTCCTCAATTGCATTAGTTAAAGTAGCTAATGTGATGTAAAACATATTACATTCCTGATTCTATGAACTGCCTTTGTGCCATGCTCCTTGAGGCAGGGGGGTCTGGGGGCAGAGCCCCTGGCCCAACCATTAGGGTCAAAAAAGAAAAAGGCGCAGAATTTTAAAAAGGTGCATGCCTGGGCTGAGGTGCAAGGCGCATCAGGTGCACACCTAGGCACACCAGGCATGTGCCTTTTGAAAGGGCGCCTAGGACCTGGGTGAGGCGCCTACCCTAAAATGCGCCTCGCCTGTGCGTCTAGGCATGTCTCAGGCACGCCTTTTAAATCACTGCGGCTACCCCAGAAAACATTAGAACAACATCAGAAATTGTTTATACTATAAAGAAGCCCAAAATCAATTCCCTCTATTAACCCCTTAGCTAAATGATCAGCAATGCAGTTTGCTGATCTGGGTATGCACTGCAAAGCCACCAACATGTCTTTTGAAAATCTTTTGATTTTTTTTTTTTGATTAGTAACAAGAAACTTTATTAATGATATGAAACTATGTGAAACTTTAAGTAAAAGAGGGGGAGGTAAAATGATATGAAAATCTTTTGAATTTTCTAAACTCATTCCTTGCCACGGAATTTTGTCCTCTTGATTCAGCCAGCTTATGATCACTTTTGAGTCTCCTTCAATCACCAACTTTCTGATCCCTATCTCCCATGCTTTTTGAACTCCAAATACGGCTGCCTTCAACTCTGCAACCGTGGAATCCCCTTCCCCTAAAGGTCCAGAGTACAAGAAAACCAATTCTCCTTTGTCATTTCTTATTACCCCTCCCATTCCAGCAACACCCGGGTTTCCAAAGCAACTACCATCAAAATTTAGCTTGAAGAAATCATTCCCTGGAGGCTCCCAATTTCTCGCTTGTTTCTTCTTTGCTGAAGATGAAGCTGCAATAACTCCCCAATTTCTTGTAATGCCATCAACAACAAAGTCACAAAACAGCTTTGTTGTCTTCACTCGATGTGTCACCTTTATCAGTATGCTTTCAATCAAAGACTCTTTGCTTCTTTTTCCCCTTCAAAAATTCTCCCGTTTCTCTCTTCCCGAATTGTCCAAACCACTGCAGCTCTTGTGCACTTCCACAGTAACCTTCCCCTTCGGGCAGGAAATGAGAAGGTGATGAGCAGTTTCACCATTTGATTCATACAAAGCACACCAATTTTGACGAGGCAAAAAAAAAAAAAAGAAAAAATGTGTGAATGTATTCTGTTTTGCATGTTTTTTGTAGTGGGTTCCCAAATTGTTGTCCTTGGGTAGCTTTGTTGATAGTTTGGGACCAGGGGTGTTTTCGTCATTTTATAAACCAGATTTTTGGTCAGGGGCAGTTGGGTGCATTTCTGTTGGGTTTTGGTCTCTTGGGTCTTTTTGTAACAAAAGTTATCTTTTAGGTGCTCATTTGAAGTTAGTTTTGTTCCTAAGGAGTTGTTGGTGAGAGGGAAACATTCTAGGGGCTTATGTGTAAATAATGTTAACTAGCTTGTCCAGCAAGCCAGTGAGTCTTATAAAAGAGAAGGGGGCTGTTTCTGTAGGGGTCTTTTGGTTCTTTCTCTCTTGTTTGATCTGTAGCTCAGCCCCAACTAGGGTTTTCAAGCATTGGGAGCTTGGGTTTTGAGGAGTCGACCCATTTTGGCACCTTCCAATCGCTCCATCGCTGCGTGTCCGCGCGGGAGGCCAGCTTGCTGCCATTGTCACTGTAGCGGAACTGTTCCAGGAGGAGTTTTACTTCGGGTTCAGGTCTGAAATCCCTAAAAATCCAACTTATTTTTGTTGTTTTCAGCTTGGTATTTCTTGCGCTTATTGCTGTATACTTGAGGCACTGCATGTAATTGTCTTTCTGTCCACATCAAATTTGGAGATAGGCACCACCCAGGTCGCCTCCTTTGAATTCCAAAGTTTTTAATCAATGTGCAGATCTAACTCTTATGCCTTCTATCAGCTCCTCGGTCCTGCTTTTATCATTGAAAGTTCTTTGGTTCCTCTCCTCCCAAGTCCTAAATAGTCCAGACTGCTGCTGCTCTTACTACCCTTCACATTCTTCTCCCTCTTTTCTTTGGTTGCCTCAGGAAGTTGGGACTTAATAGGCTTACCACATCTTGAGGGGGAACCCACTTGCAAGCAAAGAGAGAGCAGATATACTCCTAAACACAAAGCACATAGTGAGACAGCAAAACAGGATTTGTGTAGCCAACCCCATATAATTGGGATAAGGATTAAACGACACTGATTCAATTTATTTTCTCTCTTCTATTCTTCTTCTACCTCTCTTATTATTTCAATTTTTCTTCTTCTCATTCAATCAAGGAGTTTTTTTTATTGAATATTGCAAGAGAGACAAACAGTTAAGACTACAAGCATGGTATAAACAGATACATTTTCTAAATACAGTCCAGCAAGTGTGCAAACATCCCATAATGAAGAAGATACAAAACAGATAATTGGCTACATATTCTCAATATCATAGATTAACACCTTACCCGTTCTGATGTAGCATTCCTGGTTTGGAAATGAAACAAAGTTTGTAGATAGGCAATCTAATACTTTAGGCAATAGCATGAGGAAGTGCTGGCCTGCAAATTAAATAGATAAGAAATTATATGAATATACTCAGCCAAAAAGACCTTGATCACTGGTACTTTAAAGAAACATGTTGTACCACATGTACCAGAGGATTGGATTGATTGTGTAAGAGCTCGACATGCTGCTGTGGATAGACTACCACTCTCCATGTGTGTAGACCTAAGAAGTTTCTCAAGAATAGGCCAGAAGGCCCCAAGAAGAGCAAGAATAGTTTCATCTTCAACAGAGCCAGATGACAGAGGGGTTACCAGATGACTTAATACAATTCCCATCCTAACACCAAGAGAGAATCTCATAACAATCAAAAAGACAAAAGTTCATGCTGAATATAAAGATTATTAAACAGAAATTCGGTGCATATAATAATCTTGATTGCAGATATTCCACAAGAACAAGACCTATCTATTTATGAAGCATGAGACAAAAATCTCAAAGAATAAAAGATGCTTCAATGGGAAATAATGTTTTAAAACTTTCGTGAACCAACCAGTCAGATCAGTCAACCCACCACCCAGACAAATTAGGGGTGACCATTTCTAGTCCAGTCCAGTCTGGCCTGTTCTGTCCCACAATATATATATATATATATATATATTAGGCCCAAAGCCCACCCATGACACCAATAAACCAGATTCTCAGGGCCATTCATTCCCAAACCACTTGTAAAAAAAGCACTGGTTCAGTCAACAATCAGGTGACCCAATTGGTTGAACTGCTGAACTGTTTGACCAGTCAGCGGGCCATGGGTTAGACATTAATTTTCTTTTTCTCTTTCTTTTGTATTTTTATACATTTCCATCATTAATAACAATAAATTTCATTTATCATACTTTTTTGGTTTAATATAATGAATATAATATTTTAGAGATGCTCAAATTGATGGGCCAGCCTATTGGATCCAGACAGTTGAACTGCCGATCCACCACCCAACCAGAATAGTGGCTCTGTTTCCTGGTCAGTTTTTGACACACTGATGGGAAACCATTTTTGAAGGCTCTGACTAGGTAATTGATGTTAATCTAGATACCCATAGTTAGAATCAATCCTGCAATAGATCTATCAGCACACAAATGCTTTGATTATTGGATGTGGTCAACAATAATTTGCATGATGCTTTGATTATTGGATGTGCAAGTCTTTGTTTTGTTTTTTTTTTTGATAAATAACAGAATATTTTCATTGATCAAATAAAACTGTTCACTAAGGCTATGTTGGTTTGAGGGAAAAGGTAGGGAAACCTTTACAAACCTTGTATAGGTTTCCCCACCTTTCCCTTCCTACCTTTTCCTTCAAAGCAAACACAGCATAAGTGAAAAGCATTAGAACAAGTACACTAATAAAGCAAAAACAATTTCCCCACCACAGATTCCTTTTCTACAAATTACAACCCAGTCTAGGGCAACTCCAAAGCAAAACATCCCTCCCCATTCCATATCTTGCTAAAGAATCTGCTAACACCATTTTTGCTTCTAGGGACCCAGCTGAACAAGGCATTTGGGGAGGAACCCTAGTGAGGCAGCCACTTGACAGTCTCCCTCCACTATTATGTCCCTTAAACCCTGTTGGTGCAGAAGTTTTAAACCCTGAATTTAAGCCAACATTTCTGCTCTTGGAGATTTTCGTTGTCCCACCGAGCCTGAAAAACTAAGCATAACATTGCCTTCATGATCTCTAACAACACCCCATACACCTGATGACCACGTATTTCTGAGACAGCAGCACCCATCAAAATTGAACTTGGTCCTCCCACATTCTGGTGGACCCCAATATAGCACCCTTGCCAGTTTGCTTCTTTGGAAAATCACTACTGTTTACCAATCCCTAATCAAATCAACAAGAGGCACATCTTTAAATTCTGCCATCACTAAGCCCAATACACCACTTTTATCTTTGTGAGTTCTATCACCTCCTCCACCTGTTTATACTTCTCTTCAAACAGTTTTGCATTTATGTCACACCAGTGACACCACAACCCCCAAAGAACTGCCCCCCTCACACACTGCCAGAGGATTTTTTTTGCCTTTGAGTACATAGACCCAAAATATCTGTTTTGAATAAGTCCAACACTTCAGTGGGTGCCTCCCAAGCTCTACCCATACCTCTTTTAGAGGAAAGAAGTTTTGCTCAGTTCACTGGTTAAACCAGCTGGTCAGCCCATTTTCAATCAAGTCTGGTTTCTAGGGAATGATCGAACTGGCCAGTGTCCCAGGTCACAGTTCAACCAGTCTGACCAGTCGGTCCGGTCCAGTTTTCTAAACACTGGTTCATACGATCTATTGACACCCCTAGTGCTTAGATTAGTTTCCAGTAAACACATAGAAGAAACTAAGTTAGCAGCCTCAAGAGACAAACCTGTAAAGTCCTCTTGCAGCTGAGTTCAATGATTGTGTATAAATAGCAGGATTTTGCCTCTGAGAATGCTCATTCTCTTCATCAATCTGGATGTAAAAGAATATTCAATCACCAAAAGAACAAATTTTATATCACAAGCATGTATGATTACAGTCCTTAACAAACCAAAAGGAGTTCAATCACCAACATTTCGGTACATATGGTATAAGTTTGTGGCAGACAGATGGTAAAATATAAGCTACCATCCAACACTGCATATTATAGATCTGTTTTCAACAATAACATAACCATATACTGCTATACTACAAAGGTTAAATTCAGCCAACATTTCATTGGAACTATGTAATTCTTAGTATCCACTTGATAGATACTTCTTGACCCCTCTCAAATGAGAAATTCCATCAGAAATATCAATAAATTAAAAACAATGATGACAGGAATTTTTAGGATTCTTATTCCTCCCCTTTATTAACAACCAAAATTCAAGTGGATAAAGTACACTCTCAACCAAACCAGAAAATGATCAGTCTTTCTGTTCTTGAATTGAAGATTGCTTACAATCCCTGAAACTACCCCTTGGAGTGTAGGAGGGCACTTTAATGGGTTTTGACATGGAGGGTTTTGATAATCTGATGATTACTGGTTAAATTGCATTAGCAGGGAAATTCTTCACAAACTATATTGTAGAGAGCATTGATGTGGACCCCACGGCTGTGGTCCCCACTGTGTTCGTATGGCAGCACAGCATGTATTCTTTGTTAGTTATGCCAGTGTTAGTTGGTAGTTATTTCAGTTTTGTTGTTATTTCAGTTTTGTTGTTATTTCAGCTTTATTATTAGTTTATTTGCCATGTAAGCAATAAGGGCAATTCAGCCTTTTTACAATTAGTAAACATATAAATATTAAGAGTGGGTCGRCAGATCAGTTCATTCGACCCTCTCTCTCCTTTTCTAAAACCCTTCGTGTGCTTCTGCTTTTCTCCCTCTTTTCTTCTTCTTTTCTCCTTCTGAAATCTTTTCTTTTACTTTTGGATTCAAGACTGATTGTAGTCTTGATCGACTACTT